TTCTAGATGCAAATCCTCACTTAGGTGTCTTAATCTATGCCCTGGACTTGGACTGGCCTTCACATTGGCAGGGACTGGGGAGGGGGCAGGAGGGAATGGGGATGATATAAGAAGAAGTATTTCCCTCTGAGGGTATACAGTCCAAGATATAGCTGCAAGGGAAGCCAGCTCGATCTCACCTCAGGGCCTTTGCACTGGCTATTCCCTTTGCTTGAAATGCAATTTTTTTCAAGTAAACACACAAGTCCCTCCCTCTTCCCTTTCTGATCTCTGCTCTAATATTAGCTTCTTGGCAAGGCTTTTGCTTACAGCTCACTTTAAAATTGCAACCATCTTCCCACACACTCCAATTCCCTTTCCTTGTTTTCTTTGTCTTAATGGCACAAAATATGCCTTTCCACTCATTTATCTTGTTTTGTGCCCATCTCCCCTACCCAACTGTCAGCTCCTGAGGGGCAGATATTTTTGTCTTCCCCCTATTCATTGCTGCTTGTTCTGTGCCAAAACAGTGCCTGATGCCAATATTTGCTGAATAAATAGTCAAAAGCAAGAGATGTGGTGAATACAACACAATATACAGATGATGTATTACAGGCTTGTACACCTGAAACTTATGCAATTTTATTAACCAATGTCACCCCAATAAATTTAATTTAAAAAATTTCCCTGCCCTGGTTGGTGTGCCTCAGTGGAATGGGTACAGGCCTGTGAACCGAAAGGTTGCTGGTTCGATTCTCAGTCAAGGCATGTGCCTTGGGTTGCAAGCCAGGTCCTCACTTGAGGGCATGGGAGAGGCAACTGATCCATGTATCCCTTGCACATTGAGCTTTTTCTCCCCCTCTTTCTCCCTCCCTTCCCCTCTCTCTAAAAATAAATAAATAAAATCTTTAAAAAAATTTTTCCAAGGGCAGGTGGCAACTTTATCACATAAAAAATTGAAAAGTAAATGTGACTTGGAAAAGCATCTAACATGTGACAGTAAAGACATGTGGATAATGACTGAATTGTATTTTTTTAAAGATTTTATTTATAAATTTTTCAGAAAGAGGGAAGGAGAAGGGAAGGAGAAAGAGAAGGAGAGAAATATCAATGTGTGGTTGCCTCTTACGCACCCCGCCCAGTGGCGACCTGGCCTGCATGTGCCATGACTGGGAATCGAACCAGCGACCCTTTGGTTCACAGGCCAGCACTCAGTCTACTGAGCCACACCAGCCAGGGCTGAATTGCATTTTTAAATCAATTAAATTCCTTGAATGTGAAATTGCGCATATATATATATATATATATATATATTTATATATTTATATATATATATATATTTATGCACACCCCCCCACACACACATATACATACACATATATATAAAAAACAAATTTGCCTAATAAAAAAAAAGCCAGAGATCAAGATCCCCAAGAAAGTGAGTCCTCAGAAAAGCAAGTGGTCACTGTAACTGGGGAGAACAGAGATCTTCTGGAAGAAGTGTTTATTGGGGCCAAGTTGGGAGGGAACGGGAGGGTTTCGTAGGCAACAATTCGGGGGAGGTCATTCTGGGTGGAGGAGCAGACTGGGCAAAGGTACAGTGGCTGGAAAGCTTGAGCAGGAAACAGTGGGGACATCAGGGCAGCAGGGGGTAGCAAAGAGGAAAGGAAGGGGAGATGGCCAAAGGCTGAAGGGGTGAACTTGAACCTGTGGAAAGTGAGGAACTATGGAAGACTTTTGAACAGGGAGGATCCTGGTCATATGGAAGCTGCCAAAAGAATCTGATAGGCAGCAGCTAAAGGCTCAAAGGCCCAGGGGATCAGCCAGGCCCTAGGGGGCAGGAACCTGAGGTTGGGGGAAAGCAGGGAACTCAGTGGCTTCAGACTCACCTCTGACTTCTTAAATCGAGCCCGGAGAGTCTTCATGCCAGCATCCGATGTTTCTCTTCAACCCAGGCCACCTGGGAAAGGGCAGGGGGTGAAGGACATCATTCCTGGCGAGCAGGAGGGCCAGCTGCCTTCCCCTCCTCAAAAAGACCACTTCCTCCTCCCTGGACCATCCTGGTCCATAGAGCAGGACACAGATATGCCCCATTTCCTCACTGCTGTGTGTCCTATGGCAAGTCACTTGCCCTCTCTGAGCTTCACATCTCTCACCCTTAAAATGAGGAAGATAATCCCTTCTTGACCAACTCATGGTAAGTTTTCAGTGGGGTCCATAGCATAGGGTCAGCAAACAGCAGGTGCTCAAAAATGCACTTCACCAGGGGCCCAAGCAGATCAAGTTTTTTCTGGTCTCTAAGTTTTTAACTGTGCAATTATTTCTACCTAAAATGCCTTTCTTTTTTCCGTCTTTGGTGAACTCCCAGTCATTCTACGCAGCCCAGTTTCAAAATCCCATGTTCTTACCTATCAGCTTTGCCTCTCACCAACAGGCAAAGCTCTGACTCACCAAACCGGGTTCCTCTAGCCCCACCTGGGTCCCTTCTTCCCCAGCCATGGCTTCACAGGCTCAAAGTGTCTGGGCTGGTTCTAGCATCCTGAATAGTTAAGGGCTCTTTGGGGGCCAGGCCCAGAGCTGAGGCTCTCGGCACAGAGGCATGTTTCTTGGATAGTCAGAGCATCCTTGCAGCTAAGTCCCCTGACACCAGCCTGGCTTCTGAATGAGAACACGGAGGAAAGTCACTCAAGGTGGATGGAGGTCTGAGGCGATCTGCACACACGAGCATGTGGCGTGTGTGTGCATGCCTGTTGTCTCTGCACCTTCACCTGCTCCATGTTCCATGCATGTGCAGGGATAGGCAGGCAGGGATATCTTGAAGGGAATGTTTTGCTAGATGTGTGGCTCAGGGTTCCTTCCTATGACTGAGCAGGATTTCTGTGAAGGTGTGTCTTTCACCTGTCCTTTCACTTGTCCACCTGCCCATGACTTTTCTAAGCCATCCTTCCGTTCACCTACCCACTCACCTGTGCATCCATCTTCCTACTCCAGCACTTGTACATCCACCCACCAACTCAACTGCCCAACTCATCTTCTTATGGTCCTTCATGCACCCTTCAACCATGCTTCATTCACCACGCAATGACCATCTACCACCCACCCACCAAGCCGGCCAGCTATGCACTCACTTACACATCCAACACCCACCAACCCATCTACTCATCCGTCCGTCCTCATTCACCTTCCACTGACTTACTCGTTTTCTACTCAACTACCCATTCATCCTCCAATCATCCATTCACTCTTCCATCTACCCACCCATCCAACTACTACCCACCCATTCATTTATCCTTCCAGCCTACCACATTCTCTCAATGCACCTCTTCATTTACCACCCACCTCATCCTTTTTCTTTGCCCTTGTCTAAAGGATTCAATCACACCCAGAGAAGAGTGTAATAAGAGACCCAGGAGAGGATTCCACAGGTTGCTTGAGCAGGTGGGAATACGTGGGCTTGGGGGAGGGGGAAGTACCCTCATCTAGGGAGCTGCTTCCTGGAAGAGGTGATGATATACAAACAGGGCCTGAAGGCCAGGCAGGATATCAAGCAGCCAGAAAAGAAGGTACATACCCTAGACAAGACTCAGGCTGAGAAGTGCATGCACAGGTGTGTGTTGGTCAGGATGCCTGCGTAGCCCCTCGGTGTGCCTGGAATATATACCAGCCCCTCCTTTCTCCCACATGCCAGGGCTCAGGGGCAAGGAGCCCAAGGTCCTAAGGGGAGCCCCCATTCCAGGCCTCCCTTTTCTCCTGCCTCTCCTACCTCCTGTAGCTCCAGTGACTTCAGCACCAGGCCACTGTGTTCACTGCTGGCTCCGGTTACCCACTTCCAGCTGGGCCACCAGCTCGCACCAGCAACTCCGTGCGCTCAGCTCTGACACCTGATCAGCTCTGAGCGGGCAGGCGGTAGCCCCAGAGGGACAGGGGATGAGCTGAGGGAGGAGGCAGATTGGCAGCGGGGCTGCCTGTTGGCCAACGGGATCTAGTGGGAAGACACCAACTTCTTCCCTATGATCACTGGACCAATTTCAGTTTCTGGAATAAGGCACTCCCTTCCTCTCCTCCTAGCCTTTGCACTTGCTGTTTACTCTGCCAGGAGTAATCTTTCTGTATCCCATGTCATCCCCAAACTTGCTCATTCCCCCTCTCTCACTCCTACTCAATTCTTCAGATCTTTGCTACAACACCCTCTCCTCCAGGAAGCCTTTCTGGATGCCACCAGAAACGGTCAGGTGCCTCCTCTGAGTTTCCTCACAGCCTGGTGACCTCATTGCACCTCAGTCACACTAAGACACCATTGTCCAGTCACTGGTTTGTGTCCATCATTAGCCACAAGGTGCCACCTTTTCCTTCAGTGTTTCCTGAGCACACAGACGAAGTAGGTGCTCAACTCATGTTTCTTAGATGAGTCCTAAAGGCCACCAGCCCCGATGACCTTGATCAGTTTCCTTAGCCTCTGGGTGCAGTCTGGCCCTGCTCAGTGGAGATCATCATCCATCTGAACAACATTCAGATTACTTACAGTGGCTTCAAAGACCCTCTCTAGGGAGGCTTCACACTACTACCCGCCACAGGTACCCTTCACTTGCAACTTTATAAACTTCTGAAATATGCAACGGAAAGAACCCTAGACTGGAAGCCAGAATCCTGGATTCCTTCTTTCTGACACTATCCTCAACGGGGTTGGGGGGCGGAGGAGGAGCATAATTTTACAAACATAAAAAAAGGAAATGGCTGGGTCCCCCCGATTTAGACGTGACAGGAGAACTCTCACATGGGTAGCCTCCACTAGCTTCCCCCCAGGTCAAAACCCCTTTCCTGCCCCAGAGGAGGGTTTAGGAGTAAGCAGAGTCTGTGTGGAGTTTTTTGTTTTTTGTTGTTTTTTACCAGCAGTTAAAATGGCGCCTAGGGCGTCAGCGAGAGGCGCATGCGCATTGGAGGGAGCGGCCCGGCGGCTCCTCCTTTAACCTGTCCCACCCTATTTCCGGCGGAAGTGGCCTCAACAAGGGAAACTTTATTGTTCCCGTTGGAGTGGTAAGAATGTCGGTGAATTACGCGGCGGGGTTGTCGCCGTATGCGGACAAGGGCAAGTGCGGCCTCCCTGAGGTGAGTGCGGCCAGCGTCGCGAAGGTTGCCTCTTTCAGGGCAGCGGGCTAGTCGGGGCCGGACGGCAACAGGGCATTGTGGGACTATTAGGAGGCAACGAGGCTAGACAATGGGAGGGACTTCCCAGAGAGGAGGGGGTGGGAAGTGACGCCCCTAGCGCGCGCGGGGCTGCGAACGAGTCCAGCCCTGGGTCGGCGGGGGCTAACACAAAAAGAATTTGCGTCGGCGAAGTTCTGAAGTTCTGTTGCAGGAGCAGAGGATGTAGTTCTAAGCGGAAGGCACTGCCTGGGCAAAGAAAGGGAGGTGGGAATAAACGCAGCTGGGGAACAGACTTAAAACGGAGAGGTTTTTCGAGTTAGGCTAGGATGGGCCCCAAGTGCCAGCCTGGGAAATTGACACTTTGTCCTGCGGGTGATGGGAAAAGGTTTGGAGCTGGGGAGGAATCTTGGATCGATGTACCGTATTTTGCCGTGTATAATGTGCATCCACTTTTTGACCCAAACTTTCAGGGGGAAAAAAAACCGTTCGTTTTAATTTTTTTAATTCAATTTTTATATATTTAGATACTTGTATGTTGTATTATAAAGGAATTTTAGCATTTATTTTCGAACATGTTATGGTACAAGAAATTTTATGTAACAATTACAAAACACAAGAACAGATAAAAGGTATTTCAGGTGCCACCCAGGTATAATGCGCATCTTTATTTTCTTCTCAAAAATTTGGGCAAAAAAGTGTGCATCATACAGAGCAAAATACAGTAAGTATGTGTCAGAAAGGAGAGAGGTTCCCTCCATACACTGAGACCTTGGGCTTGTCACTTCCATTCCAGAGAAGAGCCTTCCCGTGTGTAAACTTGGGTAGATTGCCCTCATCCCATAAAAGTTAGTCTGTTCATTCTGAATCAGGCATTTAAGGAGCTCTCAGGTTGTGTGAATCCCTCTGGAGGCCCCTTTCCTTTCCTGCCTGTATTCGCTTTATTCCTCATATATTTATTGAACACCTGCTGTGCACCGGGCACTTTCTAGGTCCTGGGGCCACGGCAGAGAACAAGACAAACAAAACCCTCTCATTCCAGTGGATAAAGAGAGAAGCAGCAAATAAATGTAAGAAGTGAGATGGGAGCTAAGGAGAAAGCACTAGGAAGAAAAAGCAGGCAGTGATGAGGGGAGCTGGCAGCTGCACTGACACCAGGTGGCCAGGGAGGCATCACTGAGATGGCCTTTGTTGGTGTTTTCTATTACAGTAAAGTACATCTTTCATACACTGTTTCATCTTAATGTGCACATAATTATTAAGTGTACATTCAGTGGCATTAAGTATATTTATGTTGCACGACCATCCCCACCATATACGTCCAGAACTTTCTCATCTTCCCAAACTGAAATTTTGTCCTCGTTAAACTCTTAACTTCCCATCCCCCTCCCCCAAGGAGCCCCTGGCACCCACTATCTACTTCCTGTTTGTATCGAATTGACTGCTCTAGGAACCTCATAAAGTGGAATCACACAGTATTTGTCCTTTTGTGCCTGGTTTATTTCACTCAACAATGTCCTCAAGTTTCATCCACATTGTAGCATATGTCAGAATTTCTTTCCTTGTTAAGGCTGAATAATATTCCATTGTCTGGATGGACCACCCAGTGTTTATCCATTCAGTCATCGATGGATACTTGGGTTGCTTCCATGTTTTAGCTATTGTAAGTAATGCTGCTGTGAACCTGGGTATACCAATGAAGTGTCTCATGAGCCAAGACCTAAAGGAGGTGAGGGTGGGAGTCTAGGAAAAGCTTGGGGGAGGACTTGGGCTTTTACTCTGAGGAATGGGGGAGCCCTGGAGCGCTGTGGGCGGAGGAGGGACATGATGACAAATGGCCTTTTCAGATTCACTCTTCTCCCCTAGGCAAGGTAGGGTAGTTTGGCCTGTGGCTGGTGGCCTTGCTTCTGTGGGACACATTTTGACCACTCCCCTTGCTCTCTCGCATAACAGATCTTCGACCCCCCCGAGGAATTGGAGCGGAAGGTGTGGGAGCTGGCAAAGCTGCTTTGGCAGTCCTCCAATGTGGTGTTCCACACGGGCGCTGGCATCAGCACTGCCTCGGGCATCCCTGACTTCAGGTCTGTGGGTGTGGAGGGCAGTTGAGGCAGGACCTGCTAGCTGCCCAGGGCTTCCCTGTGAGCTGCAGAGGCCCAGGCATCAGAACCCAACCTGCTGCCTTTCCCTTCACCGAGTCCTGAGTGATCTTTCCATACTTCGGGTGTTTGGGATGGGAAAGATCCCTCCCCTTCAGACTTGTCCCTTTAAGTCACAACCAACATTTTACCCGCCCCATTGGCCAAAACTTGATCACCTGGCCATGTCTAGCTACAAGGAATGCTGGTCTTTCTTCTAGGCTTACTGAGCATAGCTAAATATTGGGGTACTATTACCCTAGAAGATGTGGAGAATCAATGTCAGGGACAATTAGCTCCACACTCACTTGTAAATATTTTTCTACCAGACCTGGTGCCAGTTTCCTCACCCATGAATGAGGGTGTTAGACCAGATAATGTCTGAACCACCCTCTGCTTCAGGCAGCCTGTATGACAAGAATCTTGTAGCTGAAAAGCAGAGTTCTCAAACTGGTGGCCCCTGGGTGTCTCCTACGTGTGCTTAGTTTGCAGCCCTGCCCCAAAGGGCAGGCCTGTTGCACTTAAAAGTGTCTTTCCAGTGCTTCTTGGTTCCAGCAGCAGAAGAGCAGATTCCATAGAGGAATGTTAGAATTCTAAGGCATGAATCTCCCAACCACTCCTCCATAACCTGCCATGGTTCCCCATTGCCACACAGGAGAGTTCCAAGACCTTCCAGACCCAGTCCTGGGACATCTCTTCAGCCTCAGCCCCTCCTACTCCCACTGTAACCCTCAGACCATTTGCATTTCCCCCAAGCTCACAGGCTGTTGCCAGTACCCCAGGCCTTTGCTTACCCCTTCTGCCTGAACTGCCCTTCCTCTCACAGTTCAAGAGATGGCTCAGCCTCCTCCAGGATGCCTGTCCATACTTCCCACACAGAGCCCTCACTGCCTCTACTAAGCCATCCCAGCCCACACGGCTTAAGGGTCTGTGTTCGTTCACCTGTGTCTCCCCTGGCAAGATCAAGGACTCCTCAAGGGCATGGCCTCGTGCCTTTAGGGCCCCAGCATCACCCAGTATAGGTCCAGGCAGCAGTAAGTGTTAATTGAATAATTAATTTTTGTTCTTGGTGTGCACTCTTCTCTCTCCTCCCTCCCTCCCTCCCTCAATCTCTCTGCCCCTCTTTCCCCCGTTGTCTCACTTTCCCTGTCTCTCTGTCTCCAATTCTCTGTCTCTTTTTATGTCCCCCTCTTTCCCTGATCCCTCAATTCTATCTCTCCACATCTCTCCCCACGTGCCCCCTTTAGGGGCCCCCATGGCGTCTGGACGATGGAGGAGCAGGGCCTCGCTCCCAAGTTCGACACCACCTTCGAGAGTGCGCGGCCCACGCAGACCCACATGGCACTAGTGCAGCTGGAGCGCGTGGGCCTCCTCCAGTTCCTTGTCAGCCAGAACGTGGACGGGCTGCATGTGCGCTCCGGCTTTCCTAGGTAACACCCAGCTGCCAGCCCTGCCTGGGCAGGCTGCCCCGCTCTCTGGGCCTCGGTTTCCTTATTTGTAAAGTGGAGGTTGATGTGGCAATACAGCAAGGCCAGAGGGGAAGCTCCTAACACTAAATAGGATTTTGCAAACCAGAGCTGTCATTTTTGGGCTTCCTGGACACAGCTCAAGAATTGGGGTCCTCTTTTCCAGGTCCCAGGGCAGCTGCAAAATCTCCCTTGAGGTGAGGAGGAGAAGAAATTGGGAGTAGGGAGGAGGGTGGTCACGGTCGAGTACTTGCCGTTGCATTTTAACATTCCTCTTTAAAACTTTTATACTGAATGTGAACATGGATTTGGGGCAGAAAGACCAATTCCTTAATACCAAGTACGTCGCCTCCCTACCCGTTTCTCCCAGTCTTACCTTTGGGGACGATGAGAGCCCCTGTCAGTTCATACAAGTAGCCAGGTCCTCCACCGGCAAGGGATGAGAGAACAACTTGTCTCTGCTTATAAAAGAGAATGAGGCAACTGTCCCCTGCCGTTTTGAAATGAGCCCGAGTCTAAACTCCAGTCCTCTGGCACAGAAATAAAATTTCTCCAGGAGTCGAGCAGCTTTTCTGACCTAGAGATGTCACCAAGGCCTTCATCCACCCAGACATGTGAATACTTGAGAAAGCAAGACCCCAGCCTCCCTGGCTGTGTGACCCTCAGGCAGGCATTATTCCAGGCTGTAACTACAGGGCATATTATCTCTCCAGAGTAATTCACTAGAGAGATGACGGCAGACCTAGCCCTCAGGGCCCATATAGATGTTTCTAGAAATGAAAGCAAACATTTTCTCACTGCATAGCAGATATGTTTCTGTGGCACAGGGCTTTTTATAGGAACACAAATCTAGGGAAGTCTGTTCCCTACACACCCGGACAAGTCGAGTTGGGGTGTGTAGGTGGAATGGGAGTGGGACAAAGCCACCCATTGGCACAGTCCTTTCCAGAGATGGAGGTGAGTCACTAGGGGGAGGAGGCAGGAGTGTATTTGGGGATTTCAGTGCCTCCAGTTTTCTGACTGATAGGTTTTGCAGCAGCTCCCTTGCCTGCACCCAGGCCCCCCCCAGCACCTACTGCTCACTTTGTAGTGACAGCAGTCTCTGTGCACATACTGGGAAAGGGACCAATCCCTCCGCGCTAACAGGGACACACTCAACAACTATTTATTGAACACCTGCTGCACGCCATACACAGTTCTAGATGTGGGACAGAGCGCACCAAACAGAAAGCCCCGCTTTCCTCACTTCCACTCTGGTAGGAAGGAAACAGGCAGAAAACAAGATAAGTAAGCAAATTACATTGTATGTCAGACAGTGATCATTGCCATGGAAGAAAAGAAGGTTGTGCACGGAGCGGGGGTGTGGGGAATAGCAACTTTTGGCAGGGAGGTCAGGGTGGCTGTGACGTTTGAGCAGGGACGCGAAGGAAGTGACGGGGGGCTGTGGGGAAGAGCCTTCTAGGCCTGATAATTGTTCCCTCAAACATCCCAAGAGCTGAACACTGTCGTCCCATTTCACTGATGGGATTAAGACACAGAGAGGTCAAGTGACCTGCCCATGATCACTTAGTAGGGCGACAGCAGTGCCAGGAGTTGATCTCATAATCCCTCTGCATCCCAAGCCCATGCTCCACAGCCACCCAGCACCTCAATTTCTTCCTTTGCAAACTGCATCCTTCAGACCTCTAGCGACATCAGGAGCTTCTGCCATGCTTATAGGTGGATTTTGTGAATAGAATGGACTCTCCAAGTGTGATGATGGAGTCGGCTGTGGGGGTTAATAATTCCTTAGGCTCAGAAAGGTTGGGCCACCTGCCCGGGGTTGCACAGCTGGAGGAATGAGGAAAAGGGAGTCAGTGGGTCCTATGGATGAAGGGTTTGGGAAGACTTCCTGGAGGAGGAGAGCTTCTTTGCCATATCTGAAGCCTCGGGATTCAGAGAGCTCACTGTACCACCCAGCCTCTTCTCCTCCCACAGGGACAAGCTGGCAGAGCTTCACGGAAACATGTTTGTAGAAGAATGTGTCAAGTGTAAGATGTGAGTGTCACGAGAGGGTGTGAGCAGGCGAGGTGTGGTAACCGAGGCCCCCAGCTCTTTTTCTGCCACTTCCCGGGTTGGGCTCTGCAAAAGTGTTGAATCTGAGACTGAGAGACTCAGAGTAGGGGCCAAGACTGGGGTGTTACCCTCAAGAGGGGCACATCTTTCCTCTGGGGGAGGTGTGTCTTCCTCCTGGGGGGGGCGGTGTATTCATTTCCTGTGGCTGCCACAACAAACAGCCACAAACCAAGCGGCTTAAAACAACAGAAATTTATATCCACAGTTCTGAGAGTTAGAAGTCCAAAATCAAGGTATTGGCAGGGACGTGCTCCCTCCGAACCCTCCAGGGGAGGATCCTTCCCACCTCTTCCAGCTTCTGGTGGTTTCTGACCTGCCTTGGTGTCCCTTGGCTGTAGCTGCATCACTCCAACCTCTGCCTCTGTTGTCACATGCCTGTCTGCTCTGTGTCTCCTTTCTTAAAGGGACACCAGTCATACTGGGTCAGGGCCACCCTACTCCAACATGACCTCCTCTTAACTCTACATGTGCAACAACCCTCTTTCCAAATGTGATCATGTTCTAAAGTACAGGGATTAGGACTCCAGCATGTCATTTCAGGGCACACAATTCAACCCATAACAGGCTGTGACAGGTGTGACCCCAGCTCTGGGAAGGCTGAGCCAGGGCCCTTTCCGGAACGGGGGTTGTGGGTGTGTCTCCCGCTACAGGGAGAGCCACCCCACAGGTGTGCTTGACTTGGGGGGTGTCAGTGGCAGGGAGCCTGGCCCTGCCAACACCTCCTGCGGGCGAGGCCTTAGAGACCAGGGCGTAAGTGGGGCCCTCCACTTGTTATTTTTGAAATGTTTTTCTCTAAATTTATTTTGAAAAATTTTCAAACCAATAGGAAACTCGCAAGAACCATATGATGAACTCACACTTAACCTAGACCAGCAGTTAAACTTTCCTGTAAAGAGCCAGATGGTAAATATTTTCAGCTTTGTGGGCCAGACTGTTTCTGTCCTGATTGTTGGCTCTGCAGTTGTAGCGCAAAAGCCACCATAGACAATGCATAAAGGAATGGGTATGACCATGTGCCAATAAAACTTTATTTAAAAAACATAACCGGAAGGCTGGATTTGATTCATGGGGCCATAGTTTGCTCACCCCTGACTTAGATTCTCCAGTGTTACCATTTTGCCACAGTTTGTGTGCCCTCCTCTCTCTGTGTTACCAGTGTTTGCTGTGTTGTTCAAGAGTAAGAGGCAGACTTACTTATCCTTTGCCCCAAATCCTTAAGACATTCATCTCCCTCAAGCTTCAGTATTCTTTGCCACAGCCACAGTGCAGTTACTAAAATTGGGAAATGTAAAGACAATGTAACATGATTCTCTATAACCATATTCCCAGTGCTCTCATTGTTGCTATTTTTCTCCTGGTCCACGATCCAAGCCAGGGTCACATTTTGCATGTCATTGTCATGTCTCTTTAGTCTCCTTGTCTACAACAGTTCTAACCTTTCTCTGTTTTCCATGCTGCTGACATTGCAAAGCAGATGCTTCATAGGAGGCCCTCTACCCCACCCCCCAATTCTGGGCTTGATGGATGTTTGCCTGTGCTCAGCTTTTAGTCATGTGGTCCCCACTTCCCTGGGGGAATGAGAGCCCCCAAAAGCAAGAACCACTGGGTGGGACCATAAGGTGGGAAAGTGGTGGGCTTCACCTGGCCGCACCGTCCCTCCTTACTCCTCTGGCAGGCAGTACGTCCGGGACACTGTCGTGGGCAGCATGGGCCTCAAAGCCACTGGCCGGCTCTGCACTATGGCCAAGGCGAGAGGCCTGCGGGCCTGCAGGTGAGTAACCCCCGTCCATGCCTTGGAGCCCCCGGGTAGGTGGCATGTCTCCGTACTGACTGTCCCCCAACCCTCACCATTGCAGGGGGGAGCTGAGAGACACCATCCTGGACTGGGAGGATGCCCTGCCGGAAAGAGACCTCTCTCTCGCTGATGAGGCCAGCAGGTCTGACCCCCAGATGAACTCAGGGTGGGGCAGGTGAGGGAGAGGGGCAAAAGCACAACCAGCTTCAGCTCAGGGCAGGGGACTCCAGCTCAGAAGTGGAATCAGGAGAGGCTTCCTGGAGGAGGCAGCCCAAACCCACTCTGAGCCTTGATTTCCTTATAATAATGGCAGTTACTAGGTGCCATTATTACACACCTGGCCCAGGGCCACAGGCTTCACACACACCCTACTCACAAGGAAACTGAGGCTTTAGCAAGGTGACTCCTTTGCCCAGCGCTACCCAGTCAGGATTCTAACCCAGGAGTCCCAAGTATGGAAAGGCCTGCCCACCTCAACAATTACTCCCTGCCAACAGGGTAAGGGAGGTGGTTCCAGGAGGGGGAGCAGCAGGGGCAAGATGCAGGGACACCTGGCTTCCTAGGGTGTGCCTGGACATGTAGCGATAGGGTTGGAGACGTAAGGGTTGGAGGTGCCCTCCCCACCGTGGGGCAGAAGGGCTGCTGAAACACCCTCAGCCTAACCCTGCCACCCTCCCGGCCCCAGGAATGCGGACCTGTCCATCACACTGGGCACTTCCCTCCAGATCCGGCCCAGCGGGAACCTGCCCCTCGCCACCAAGCGCCATGGAGGCCGGCTGGTCATCGTCAACCTTCAGCCCACCAAGCACGTACGTGCTGAGCCCACCCCTGACATTCCTCCTGCCCCAGAGAGCCCTCTGCCTCCGCCTGACCATGCATCCCTGCCCCACAGGACCGCCAGGCCGACCTGCGCATCCACGGCTACGTAGACGAGGTCATGACCCGGCTCATGCAGCACCTGGGCCTGGAGATTCCTGCCTGGAATGGCCCGTGCGTGCTGGAGAAGGCGCTGATGCCCCTGCCCCGCCCGCCCGCCCCCAAGCTGGAGCCCAAGGAGGAGTCCCCCACCCAGCTGAATGGCCCGGCGCCGGCCAGCCCCAAGCAGGAGCCTGCTGCCGAATCCCCTGTTCAGCACAATGGTTCTGGGCCTGTCAGCCCCAAAAGGGAGCGGCTGGACAGTCCTGCCCCCTGCAGGACTCCTAAAAGGGTGAAGACTGAGGTGCTTCCCAGCTGACCACGGGGGCTGGGAGGGCGGGGCTTTTTGAAGAAGCCGTGGATTTGTTTCTGTCTTAACCTGTTTCATGTTGCTAACTTGCCTCTGTGCTGAGGGAGGAGACCTCAGGGCGCTGAGAGCTGTACTGCAGGCCCCAGAGCAGACCTGCCCGCTGCTGGGGCTCCCTTTAGCTCTTGGGGCCTCTGGTAGGGGCGTGGGGAGCCCTGCCCTGGACTCAGACCTTCCAGCAGACACCACAGGCACCACCTTCGCCCCAGCCCAGCTCAGGACATTCTAGGGAGGTGTGGCCACACCCTCCCTCAATTTGGGGCCTAAACAGGAATTAACTCACTCTACCCCCTGGGCCCTCACATCTCCCCCAACCCCTACCTTCACAGGCCCTCCAGGAGGGGAGGGAGGCAGACCTGCCCTTTAAGGAGCTGAACTTCATGGTGGAACAGACAATAGAGGTTACACTGCCTTTGGGCTGGAGGGAGAAAGTGGGCCCACCTGGCTCCCTCCAGCCTTCCAGAAAAGTCTTCAGTGCAATAAAAGCAGAACTTTTTGCATCAGAGTCTGTGTTTAACAGCCTTGTGCCAGGGACAGGTCCTAGTCCTGGGGGAAGGAGCTCGAAGTGCTCTGATCCTGATGTCAGTGTGGGCTTCCATGCAATTCAGGCCTGGAGACGAAGGAGGACAATACCAGCTGCTGGCATTCCTTCAGCCCTCAGTTTGTAAACATGTACCTATTTGCATGGCTTTTAAATACTTGCCCTCACTCCTAGGCTGTGAGACTGGAGGAAAGAAGCCATGTCCTGTCGTGATTGCAGCCCTCGGGCACCTGTGCCAAGAGGGCTGGGGCGACCTGTGAGAAGTTCAGGTGCAGCTGGGTTCCACCCCTTAGCTGAAGTCTGCGGCGGGCCCCTTCACTTCTGATGCCTCAGTCTCTTAATGGGTAAAATGAACAGGGTGGGCAGCCCCTCCTTCCTAGAAGGCGGCTGCTTGGTTCCTACGCTGCCGCGGCCCTTGAAGAACCTCCGGAGGCTGCTGGAGACACCAGTACCTCGCGCTCCACCCGCTGCTCTCCATGGTGCTGAAGAGGTGCCTGGTGCCTTGCAGGCCTCTCCAGTCTGGGTGCCTGGGGACCCGCACCTCACTCCCCCATCCTAGGCTGGCCCAGCCCCTTCTGGGGGTTGGGGAGCCCCAGACTCCCATTCAGCCCTCACCCTATTCTGCTTCCACTCCAGCCATGTTCTGTCATATTTTATTAAGGATCATAGCAGTCTTAGAGAAAGTGGGGGGTGGCTGTGGGCCATGGCCATCCCAAAGTTCAGAGCCTAGCCAGTGCCTAAGGGCCAGGGTCCCTGCAGTCTCGGCCACTTCCCCCTCCCTGTGTGTGATGGGGCAGGGAGAAGTCCCCAGGCACGGCAATTGCGGTATGTTACATGTACATGTCTGGGTCCATGGATCACTCTGTATGTGTCTGCCTCTTGCCTCCTGGCTTTCTCAGGCTTCGCGGTCTTATGATTGCCCTGTATCTGAGCATCAGCGTCTGCTCCCGTGTCTGGGTTCCTGGGTGTGCAGCTGTGTGTGTGCATCTCCATCCGGGCCTCTCAACAGGGGTGTCTGCCTCCCCTGCAATGCCCTGCCCGTCCACTACAGTGCCTGCCGCAGTGCCCTGAGCAGACGGGCCTGGTGGTGCTCACAGCTCCTCCCCCGCCTCCAGCCCCACACGCCCTGGCCTGAGTGCTGGCTCAGGCGAGGCCCAGTCCAGCAGAGTGGCCCGGCTCAGGTCCTCTGTCCAGTTGCCCTGGATCAGGGTTGACTTGTCCAGCTCCTCTGTCAAGTTGTCCAGAGCCAGCAGTTCCTGGAATTCCCAGTGAGCCCTGGGGTGCTCTGGGGACACTTCCTGGGTTGTGCCAGCCTCAGGATGGGGTCCCGGGGCCTTGGAACTTGGTGTGGTGTCAGGGGCCACACGGGAAGCAGCATAGTTGTGCAAAGTTCTGGAGAAAACTGAGCGAGAGTCGGGGCTTCATCAGGGATGGAGCGGGGAGGCTGGTGTCCCTTTTTCCTTCCAGCCTCAGGGAGCGGTTGCAGGGGTGCCCTTCCCCCTCCCCCAGGGCCCAGTATGGGGACTTGGGGAGCCAAGGGGACTGTGCCCACAGTGCAGCCCACAGGGGACCCCGAAGTGACCCTTGCCCACCTACCTCGCACAGGTGTGAAGTCTCCAGGACTCTCAGCTTTTTTGGAGGCAAAAGGGCTGATGGAGGGGAGGACGATGAGGGCGAAAGAGAGCAGCAGGACCTGCCGGAGATGGGGGCGGGGTCACCCCATCCCTCCACTGCTCCTGTGAGCACACCCATCTCGTGGGCAGGGAAACTGAGGCCCAGAAGACTGGATTATGCCTGAACTGGAGCTCGGGCCATGCTACTCACACCCACCTTCCCCCATCCCGCAGGCCAGTCTGCCAAGGTCAATGACCCCCTTTATCCTGGGGGCCATCCAGAGCAGGGGTAGGACTCACCGCTATGCAGGTGCCTGCCTGGGCTGACTTGCTGGTGGACTGGAGCACAATGGCCTGGAGTTTCTTCAGCTGCTCCAGGAGGGACCTTAGTGGAAATTAGCGGCCTTGGCTGAGGACACAGGGCCTCAGCCTGGCTTCCCGCCCATTTCTGGGGTCCCCCAGCACAGCTGATGCCTGAATTTCTCCATCCCCTCCATGGCTGATGTCTGAATTCTGTTCATCCCTCAAGGCCCCATCGCTCTTAGAAGTCTCAGGCACTTCCTCTTTGTTTCCATAAATCTCTAATGACATCCCACCCACTTCGCTGCCACTCTAATTCCCCCAACCAGGCTTCCAGGATCGCTTCCCTGGACACCAGCCCAAGCCTCGTTTCTGGTCCTCCCCCACTCCCAGTCCCCTGCTTCTCACCCTCCCCCGATAGCCCTCCTCTCCTGCCCCCACTCAGCCACCCGGGGGCACTTTTCAAAAGTAAATAGCTCCTCCCAACCCACTCAAGGCTCCCACCTCCCTCAAAATCCCCCCTGCAACAAAGCCCTGCACAACCTGCCCCATCCCTTCCCTGGCCTCACCTCCTCCCTCTCTCCCCTGACTCACTCTGCTCCAGCCACACGGGCCTCCTCACTGTTCCTCCAACACGCCAGGCACTGTCCTGTCCTGGGATCTTTGCACAGGCCATTCCCTCTAAGGACACTTTCCCCCTGGTCTTTTTGTAGCAGGTTCTTTCTCATCCATTAGGTCTCATCTTAAACATCACCTTATTGGACCTTCGTTTCTAAAGTAACCCTTCAGTCCTGGCTGGTGTGGCTCAGTGGACTGAGCACCAGTTTGATTCCCAGTCAAGGCACATGCCTGGGTTGTAGGCCAGGTCCCCAGTTGAGGGGATGTGAGAAGCAACCAATCAATGTTTCCCTCTCTTTTTCCCTCCCTTTCCCTCTCTCTAAAAGTAGATAATACAATCTTTTAGAAAATAAAACAGCTCTTCACCCTGCGTTATTTTTCTTCCCAGTGGCTATCACTATGTGTGTGATCTTTTATATATTTTTGTTTGTCTTGAGTATGTCTCCCACTAGACAGGGAGTTCTTCTAAGTGGAGGGGCTGTGTCTTCTTTGTTCACTGTTGTGGTCCCAGTGCCCAGAACTATGCCTGAGGAAGAGTAGACACTAAATAAATTGACTAAGTGGATGCACCCCTTAGGTGGAATTCTGTGCAGTTCTCCAACACACTGCGCTCCTAGCCTCTGGCCATTCATCTCCACCAGAGCAGCTTCTCTCTATGAGCCCTGGTACACCCTTCAAGTCTCCAAATCCAAATCCCCTCCCCCATGCAGCCTGCCCCCTTTCTAGGTGAAACCCTTACCCCCTGCTCTGTCCGGCCATCGCAGAAGCTGCCCCCCTTGTCTACCTCTCCTGCAAAGGGATTTGGGGGCCGGATCCCCCTGGTTGGACCAAGACTCACAGGTTCTGCTTCTCAAGATGCAAGACTTTCCTCTGAAGCTCCTGGTTCTGGGCAGTGCAGGCTGACATCCTGCAGGGACAACGTCACAGTGACATTCAGAATATGCCTATCACCAACTGTCCCAATCACGGACTCCTGTGAGGCCCCATTCTACAGGCAGGGAATGCAAGGCCAAAGCGGGGAAGTCATTCATTCAAAGTCACCCTGGCAAGTCTGAGAGAATGTGAACCCAAGTGTGCCAGGTTCCTAGCTCCCATCTCGGCATTGGTGTGGGGGGCTTCACTCCAGTTTGAGCCCCCAGGACTGGAACAGAGCGCCATGCTCAGGCTGTGGTGCTTCCAGAAGATGGAGTAAGAGGGTGATGGGAAGTCCAAGGAGAACCAAGTTACAATCCCTGCCCTCCCTGCGACCTTGAGCCATCAGCTCTCTGACCTCAGTCTCCTCATTTGTAAAATGGGGTTACAGTGACCTAATTTCCAGAGTGGTTGGGAGAATGGCATGAACTCAAGTTGACTAGGGCTTATCAAGTTGTATTTGAGAGGCAAGACAATGATGATCGTTCCATCTAGGGTGCTGGGATCCAGCCTGGGGACCCCACCCTTCCCATCTGCATCCATCTGGGAACACAGCCATGGCCCTGGCCACTCAGCCGTGGCACTGAACTATTCAGATCAGGGCACGAGGGTATGTCAGTCCTCACGTCACAACCAGGGGAGAGAAGAAATCCCCTCATCGAAGGGTCCTCCCTCTAAAAAACTCACAAGATAAAGAAGAATGAAGTTATAGAAAACCCAGGGTCCACATGGTGATGACAGTAGCACAAATCAAAATGTGCGAGATGCCACTTAGGCGGCGCTGAGAGAGAAATGTATAGCCTTCACTCAGCTCAGTGAGCTAAACATGCACATTTAAAAACGAGCAAACACCAGTATAAACTCTATCCACACAAAAAAATAAAGCAGTCTAGGAAGGACATTACAAAACTTACAGTAGAAATGAAAGAACTAGAAAAGAAAAAATAGAGTTGGATGGGAGGAAAAGCCAGAAATCCATTCTTTGCAAAGAATAATAAAGTAGACAAACGTCTGGCAAGACTGATCAGGAAGTTAAAAGAGAAAAAGAAGGCACAAATAAACAAATGAATTCTTAAACAGGTTCAACTGTAGGTAGTTCAGAACTTTACAAAAATAATAGAACACTATAACTTATTTTATGTCGATAAAATGACATAAAACAACATCCTAGAAAGATGTAACATCCTGAACTTCCCAGAAAAATACAACATCCCCACAGTGACCCAGGAATAAATAGAAAATCCCAGCAGACCGGTAACATTGCATAAAGCCACTTTTGGAAGTCACTACAGCTCTGAGGACCAGCGACCTCAGACAAGGGCGGTAAGATCCCGCCATCCCATGACCTGGCACAGAACCAGAGCAAGACGGGCAGTAGTCTCCCCCGTTCTTGGCACCACGTATTCCCGGGGATGAAGGGATCCTGAAACCCTTGCCCTGTGCCCTCTCTAGGCATATTCCCATCCTTGCAAGTGACATGAAAAATGGTCTCCCCCGGAGAGGGATGAGGACTCTCATTTTGTTAGGCCCTAAAAACTGTGACCTTGGCCTCATCACATCCTTTCTCTAGGCCTCAGTTTCCTCCCTGAGTGTGCTGTCCCAGGACCCAGTCTTACCGACTTTCCAGGCCATCAATGTATTCCTTCTTCTTTTTCCGGCTTTCTTGGGCCGACTGCTTGTTCCGGATTTTCCGGCGAATTTTTTTCAGCACTCGCTCCTCGTACTGCCGAGTTACAAGAGAAGCGGCTGAGTCGGGCTGGAGGGGGCTACTCTGTTGTCTGGACCCCACAACTTCACCTCATTTTCCTCGCCTGGGAGGCATTTCAGACCCAGGGGTCAGTGGGAAGACTCCTGATGACTTTAAGACCATCTTTCCTGCCCCCAAATTCTCTGAGAGTCTCCAGGAGGGTCCTGGGTCCTCATAATCTTCCCAGCATCTATTCCCAGTCAGTAACCGCGACCAAACTTTGCGTGTGGTGCGATGGCGCCACCTCCTGGCCATAGCTGAGAACAGTGCTTTCCGTGGCGCCGGCTGATAACACTAACGTCTTCCAGCTGGAACACGAAACTCAGGTGTTAGCGTTAAGTGAATAGGCTGGGTGGGACCTGTGGCGAGATAGGTCCCGCTAAATTGGCTTTTCGGATGATTTTTTTTTTTACTCTGGTGACAGCACATCCTATCGTTCTAGTGAGGGAGGCCTAAAGGTGAGGCTCACGGGCAGCTAGCTGCAGGAAGGGGGAGAGACCCCGAGCCAAGGGTCTCTAGGACTCACTTTGGTGAGGGGCAGCTGGGTGGGCAGCGTGATGCCTTCTTTGGCCAGCAGTTTCTTCTCATCCTCTGTCAGCACCAGCTCCTGGTAGTGTCCAGTCCCAGGTCTTAACAGGTGGGGGGCTGCCAGGTGATGCTGTTGCTATGGAAAAACCAGGGGAGCTGTGTTTGGGGCAGGGGAGACTGGCAGCCTCTGGGAAATGAAAGAGGCATCAGACTTGAGAAGCTACAAATCCATCTGCTGTAGAGCCCCCACTGGTTCTGGGATCAAGAGCCCAGCACACAGTCCTTTGACCCAGCAACTGCACTTCCAGGAATTGATCCCACAGACACTCTCATACATGGGCAAAAAGATGGCTTTACAGGATTTTCATTCATTTAACAAATAGTCATTAGACAACTTTTAATAGTCACCTACTACATTCCAGGCACCATTCTGGGCTCTGCACATACCTTGTAACCCTGTCAAGCAATAGCAAAGGATTGGAAGCAGGGAAAATATCCAACAAAGAGGGGACAGGTTAAATGAGGCATGGACAGTTTGTACAACAGAGTATTACACAGCCGTGAAAAGGGATGGGGTCTCTGTGTCATGCTACAGAGCAAAAAAAAATTAAAGCAGTAAGTCCTGGCTGGGCAGCCCATTTGGCTGGAGCATCTTCCCGTACACCAGAAGGCTGAGGTTTCATTCCTAGTAAGGTCGCATACCTGGTGGCCAGTTCCATCCCCAGCCAGGGAATGCGCGGGAACGACCCATCAATATTTCTCTCATTTTTTTCTCTCTCTCCCTCCCTCCCTTCCTTCCTCTTTCTCTCTCTCTCCCTCTCTCTCTCTCTTTTATTTTCCTGCCCTCTCTCTTTCTCCCTGCCTCCCTTCTCGTCTCTCTAAAAACAGTAAACACATCCTCCGGTGTGGACTAAGAGTAAATAAATAAGTAAATGGGGCAAAACAATGCCACATGTGGCGTCCTACATTTTATGTTAAACTGTTTAAAAAGGAATCTCTTTGGAAGAAAAAATTAGAACCCGTGTGGGGAGCTGGGTGCCTGAGCAACTTGGAGAGAGGGTGGTTCTCTCCACCTCCTCATTTGTACCATTGGAACTTGAACTGTGTGGATTCAAAATGTTTTTAATTAAATTTAAATTATGAAAGAGAAACATTAAAAATGAAAGAATCTTGTCATCAAAATGTCCAAGACTCAGGCATAAAGGTGGAGATTGGGGCAGTGTGTCATTCTTCAGGTCAAACTCCACTGCCTAGCACTCCAAGTCATTGATTAGCTCAACCATTTTCTCTCCAGGGCCGAAGCCTCAGTGTGCTCATCCATACAATGGAGATAAGGTCTCCCATGTCCCAAGGTTGTTGACACCTGGGACAATGATACTGAACATGAGGCATTTACAAAAGCCAGTTAGCATTTCCAAAGCAGTCGGTCCCGTTTCCCATCCTTCAAGGCCTGCTGGGGTTCCACCTCCTCTAGGGTGCCCTCCCGGACCTGCCATGACACTCCAGCCTCTCTCCCTCACTGGTACACTTCCCATTGGTTTTCCCGTCGTGACCATGAGGTCCCCAGAGGCTGAGCACACAGCTGGTGCTTACCATACATCTTTCAAGTTGGGAGGGGCATTTTGGTCTTGCCTAGAGACCGTCAGGATAACTTTTGGTAGCAGGTAAATTGCAGTTCAAATCCTACTGGGCCACTTGCTTGCCCTATAACTTTGGGATTAACCTCTCTGGGCCTAGACTTTCTCATTGAGGAATGGGGGCATAAGCTGGGTTGTCAGATCTTGTTTACAGGTACTTGAAGCCCTGGCAAGATAGATGGCCCTCAGTCAGCACGTAATGGGCACAACAGGCCTGACAGGCCAGCCCAGGGGTAGAGCCTGCAGCAGTTGTGTGGCTTAGGGCAAAGTACTTATCTTCTCTCTGCCCATTTCTTCATATGTAAAATCAACATAAGAGCCCCAATCTTCAGGTTGCTGTGAATTGAAAGATGATACACTTAAAGCGTTTAGAAGGATGCCTGGCCTATAGTAGGTGCTTAGTAAGTTTCAGGTGTGTGGGGGGTTTTGTTTGTTTGTTTGCTTATTTTTTTCCCTAGCACTGCAGTAGAAAGTGTCCCAGCTCAGGAGATAGAGAACTCAAGGAGCTCAAGACTGGAACCCAGACTTGCTCTGGGTGTGACCCTGGACAGATCCATCCTTTGTCTGTGTCTCAGTTTTCCAGTCCCTGAAATGAAATGGAGGTATGGGGGCTCCATGAACCCCAGGGACCCTCCCAGCTCTGAGACTCGGGAGTTGGGATGGGGGCTGCTCACCAGGTCCCCACCACTGCCAGAGAGGAGGAGGTCTTTCACCGTGAGGTTGCAGTGTGGGGGCGAGTCTGCCAGATCAGTCTGCTCGTCAGGATAGAGGCCCGGGTTCCACATTTCTGACCAGGGCAGATGGGGACAAAGACAGGCAGGGAGTCAGGCGGGGGGCCCTGACCTCTCAGCTTCTACCTGCCTCCTCCAGCAAGCCTTCCAGGATTGATTCAGTGTGCTAAGGATTTTTGGTACAGCTTGGGGCTCCAAAGCCTGGGTCGGACAGCTCTGGCAGGTGCCTCAGTCTCCCCTCTGCTGTAAGGTAGGAACCCAAATTCATCAGGACATTGTCTAGGGGCTCACTGCCAATGCAGGAGAGCAGCTGTTACCGCCCAGGATTATAGACTAGGTTTGCAGCCAGCCAGGCCTCTTCTCCCTTTGGGGCAGGGGCCGGGTCTGATTCACCTCTGGTTCCTTCCCACCTGGTGCCTAGCCCACCGGGAGCTGCTCTCCAGAACACAGACTTTAGAGTCAGATAGCCCTGGGTTCTAATCCTGACTGGGCAAAGCTGTGTGACCTTAGGTAAGTGACTAAATCTTTCTGAGCCTCAGTTTCAACTCTTCAATGGGACTTATAAGAGCTCCCACCCCTTTGCAAGGCTCAAAGGACAAAGGACACCAGCTGGGAGTGTCTCCTGCATAAGGCCTGCCCTGAGAGCCTTGAGGCCCAGGATCCATGACCTCACTCACTTTCTTGGAGCATCTACTATGACCCAGGCATGGGCGGCACAAAGATGAGGTGCCAGATGACACATAGCACAACAGCCAGCCTGCCTGCCAGGGGTACATCCCAGTTCCATGGCTTTGACTTGTTGTTTGACCTCATGGGGCTCAGTTTCACTCTCTGGAAAATGGGCCCATGTCAGGATCCATCTCAAAGGGTGGGTATATGTCTAACAAGGTGAGGGCAGTGAGAGAAGACACAGAACTCACCTAGGTCTATGGCCACAGAGGCCTCAGGCACTTGGGCCACTGGCCGAAGAGGCCTGGTGGGGCTGTGAGGGACAGGGTGGTAGGAGGGGCAGAGCCCCTTGCCAGACTCCGAGAAATGGCAGCCAGCCGAGGTGGGGAACGGCCCATTGTGTGGAGGGGTATCCTGGGGGTCGGAGGGCAGATCTTCAGAGATGCCACTGTCACTGGCTGCAGGAGACCAGAGAGGAGAGCTGGGCACTGAGTCTCCAGAACCCAAGATACAGTTGAGGAAATCATCAGAGTCCGGGGCTGGCAGGACCTGCTGGAGGGGGTGGGGCAGGAATGAGGAGGTCTGAACTTTGCTCTGGATTGCTGTGTGACTCTGAACAAGCCACTTACCCTCTCTGGGCCTCACTTGTCCTTTCTACAAGGAGAAAGGTTCGTGGGGCTTGAACACGATCATATGGCATGGGAACACCATCCAGCCTGGTCAAGGAACAAGCCCTGAGTTTGAGTTTGGACCCAACTCCAAACTGCTATGCGACCCCAGACAAGTTGCTGCCCCTCACGGGGCCTTGGTTACGTCACCTCTAAGGCACCAGCGCTGCCCGCCCTTTGGAGTAGCTGAGAGGTTCAATGCAATAATGTGTTTTGCTAAAATTACACGCCATGAGCCGTAAATGCTACCAAGCTGAGTGGAGGCCTGTCTGCGCTGCAGACCTCACCTGGTCCCCAGCATGGCCCCAGTCCTCGCCCAGGTCTGCGTGTCTCAGAATTCCATCCTGCCGATCAAATAGGAGATCCAAGAGCTCCAAGCTGTTGATGGGTCCTTGGGGACAGGTGGGGGAGGCCATCTGGAGCAAGGACAGGACACACAGCATGAGGGCCACGCATCACGTCTCCTCTTCTCTCCCTTTCCCACTTGCATACCACCCCAGGTCTGTCCAGCTCCGGTTCAATTTCCACTCAAACCCCGGGTCTGTTTCCACCCCCAGATCTGTGCTGAGGGGCTGACCCAGAGATGCCCAGGCGATAAGAGCCAGTTTCTTTAAAAAGTACTGAACAGCCCCGGCCAAGTGGTTCAGTTGGTTGGAACATCGTTCCATACACCGAAGAGGCTGCGGGCTCCATCCGTGGTCAGGGCACATACCTAGGTTGCAGTTTCGATCCCTGGCCGGGGCACATACAGGAAGCAACCGATCGATGCTACTCTCTCACTCTGTCTGTCTGTCTGTCTGTCTCTCTTCCCCTCTCCCTTCCTCCCTCTCTAAAGTCAATAAATATATCCTTGGGTGAAGATTTTTTAAAAAATGCTAGACAGATGCACACGGGGATAATCAGCCTGGTCCCTCCCTCGAGGCTGATGGGATTGGCCCTCTTTCCCTCCTCACCCCCCATGTTCCCCTCCTGGGAGGTGGGAGCCTAGAAGAAATACAAGAGCAGCCCTGGAATGGAGGCATGCTTTCGGTCACTGCATTCTCTCTCTGGGCCTCAGTATTCCTATCTGTGCAATGGGGTTGGGGCTCCTTCCAACCCTGGGAGCTGGGGGAGGGTTTCCTGGCATACACACTCCACCCACCCCCCGCCCACCCCAAGTCAGGGCTCACCTTTCCAGCTGCATAAATCTCCATTCATGAGCCCAGCCAGCTCTGCTTCCAGCTACTTTCTGGGTCTCTTGATCCGTGGAGGTTCACCCCAAGTCTAGTTCCTCTCTGTGGATCTGTCACCACCCCTAAAAGATGCTGAAATAGCTCCAGGGAGCTCTCAGCCCACCCCCGGCTGCTGATTGGGGGACAGGTAAGATGGACAGGGTTAAGGGCCAGTGATACCGGGACAAGCTGAGGGGCGGGGAGAGAAGACCCGTTATCTTGATGTTTTGTGCTTTTCTAGCAGGGAAGGGACAAAGGCCAAAGTCTGGGGTGCCTGCGCTCTGCCATGACCTCTTCCCTACTTTTGGGGACTGTTTCTTATCAGAGACCTAGACGCCGGCATCCAGGAAAGCCCAGGGACCTGGCGGGGTCCTGTCCACTGCCAGGACAGAACAAAACAGGAGGACCACCGGAGGCCACGGCTACAGCCATTGTAGGAGCTCCCGTCACTCAGCGGAGCCGGCAACCTCCTGCCCACCCTCCACGTCCACCACGGTGAACCCATGCAATCAATTCCTTCTAGAATCTTCTATTGTTAGTGTATTCAACTATTTGAGCCAAACTTGTTCTCACAGCAGGGCCTTCGCACTTGCGGTTCCCTCTATCTGGAGGTCCCCTCTCCACCCCTGAGTCTGTCACTGTGCCCACTTATTTGTGAAAGTTTGATATCTGTGAATCAGCCCAGGTGACTGAGAGGCTGTCTCTGGCCCCAGCGGAGAGGAGACCCCTCCCCACATCTCTTCATCACATCCTTTTTCCTACTGAACCCTTCATCACTTAAAATGGTTTTATTTGTGTATTTACTTGTTTGGTGTCTTTCCCAGTTCTCGCCTCCCCTCTGCTCCCAGAAAGGAAGGGCCTTCGGTGCTAGAATAGAATCTCTTTGTTTTCTGCTGGGTCCTCAGTGTCCAGGAAATGCCTGGTACACAACAGGTGCTCAATTAACTCTTACCCATTGAGCACCTCCTATGCGTCAACCACTGTTTTAGGCACTAGCAGGAAGAGGCTGTGGACAAGCTAGGTCATAAATATATAAATAAACCAGTAAAGAGATAAGTGAGTTCACTACTGAAAAACTAAATGTAATCATGGTAAAGGGCAACTGAGGGCTAGAAAAGGCCCCTTTTAGAAGGTGACGTTTAAGTACAGTCCTGAATGAAGAGAAAGAGACAGCCATGGAGAGATCTAGGAGAAAAATGTTTCAGGTCAAAAAAAAAGAGAGAGAAAAAGTACACATGCAATGGCTCTGGGGAAGGCCTGTGCCCGGCATGTTGGAGGAAGAGCAAAGGAGGCAGGTGTGCCTGGGGCAGAGCGAGTGAGGGGAAGAGCGGAAGGAGGCGAGGACAGGGAGCAGGCAGGGGCAGGTTGTGCAGGGCCCTGTGGGCTGCAGAAAGGAGTCTGGCTTATACTAAATATAGCAAGAAGCTTTGGGGAGCTTAGTGAACACATGGCTACATCAAGACTTCTGTATGCCAGCGTGATGGTAAGTGCTAGGTTTGCAGCGGTAACTAAAACGCCCTCCTTGCTTGCCAGAAATGCCCGTCCTGGTGTATATTCATCAATGCATCAGTCACTATTTATTCAGGCAACAAAAATTTGATGAGGACCTATTATGTGCTGCACGTGATGTGGTTCTTTTAGTCAATAACAAATTACATTGCAGCAGTTGCCCCTCCCAGGGGGCGCTGGGCCATATCTGGAGACATCGGTGGTTGTCACAAATAAGGAATGCTCCTGGCACTGAGTGGGTGGAGCCAGGGAGGCTGCTCGGCACCCGACAGTGTCTAGGACAGCACCCCATAGAGAGTGATGCGGTGCCAAAGGAGAGAGACCCTGCGTTCCCCCAACTGTCCCCTGAATGCTGGTATCATTATCTTGCCCTTGGCCTCCAGATGTTTCTTATTTCCTTTTCAGTCCCTCTGGGGTGGACCTTTAAGGGGTGGTTTGGTATGGCTTGTCTTTAGCGATCCAGTCATAATATTTACTCAGCCTTCGCTGAGGAGGCAGTAGGCCAGGGCGGTCCCAGCAGGTGTACCGAGTAGGTGCAACCTGACTTCTGGACTTCCCTCAGCCTCTCCCTCGCCCCCATTTATGACTCTCAGGAGTCCCAGTTCCCTTGAGATAGAATTCTTCCTCCTTCTTATGTGAAAACCTGCCAGAGAAAAAGGAGGTGGCTTTACTCATTCACACCTTCACGTAGATTAAGACCCTCCTAGTCCCCCTCCTCAGGATATTTGTATTTCTTTACATTTTTATAATTACAGACTTCAGAAGGCTTTTCTCCACCCAAATGAAGAGCTATGTGAGCACACAGGATAGGGATAAACAGTTGAGATACAGGAGAGCTTTTTGATGCCCTTGACTTTACATTATCCCATTGGCAAACACAACCACCTACTTCAAAGCAACACTAAGTTTGAATCTGAAGTAAAATTCCTATAACAGATTCCACCAACATGTTTAAGTATGAAACATAACCTCGAAAGGATGCTGTGGTCAAACAAGATTAAGGAACACGGCGTTAATAAGCAGCTTTGCAGAACTTACCAGAGCCTTTAAGCTCCAGGTGGGGACAGAGTTTGTAGCATTTCACAAGCATAATTGTAGAGCTGTGTTTTGTTTTTAATTTTTATTTGACTTATTCTGAACCATTTCTGACATATGGAAACACTGAAAGACACCAACTAGAATGATTAAAATAAAAAGATAGACAACACCAGATGTTGGTGGATGCTATGAAGCAACAGGAACTCTTACCCACTGTTTTTGGGAATCGAAATGCTCCAACCACTTTGGTAAACTTTGGGAAATGGGGCAGTCTCTTACAAAGTTAAACATTTATTTACCATTTGACTTGGCAATTTTGCTCCTGGGCATTTTTTTAAAGATTTTATTTACTTATTTTTAGAAGGGAAGGGAGGGAGAAAGAGAAGGAGAGAAATATCAGTGTGTGGTTGCCTCTCACACTCCCCTTACTGGGGCCCTGGCCCCCAGCCCAGGCACGTGCCCTGACTCAGAATCTAACAGGCAACCCCTTGCTTCACAGGCCAGCACTCAATCCACTGAGCTACACCGCTCAGGGCCACTGCTGGGTATTTACCTAAGAGAAATGCAAATGTGTGTTCACAAAAAGACTTGAACATGAATGTTCATGACAACTCTATTCATAATCGTCCCCAACTGGGAACAACTTAAATATCCAATGAGAGAATAAGTAAACAAACTGGTATATCCATTCCACACAATACTACTTCAGCCAATACTCATCAAATTAAACAAACCTAAGACCTGTATTATTATCGTAAATTAAGTCTACCTCAATAAAAAGCACACAAAATATATACTGAACAAACATGTACATAAAACATGTAGTAAAACATTAGAAACAACCAAAATATCCACCAATAGGGCATTGATTAATAGAATCTGATGCAGTCACACGATGGAATATTAGGTAGCTGTGTAAATGAATAAGGATTTTTTGCATGTACTGATAGGGGATGATATTGAAAACACTGATGCATCATATATTTTATTTATTTATTTGTTGTGGCATGCATTCGTTCAACACACATTTATTGAGTGTCTATTCCGTGCCAGACAATAAAATGTCTTTTGCTCCTTTCCTTAATCAGTATTGCTCCAGGAGCTTAGCTCATCAGTGAGAGGAAGGGGCATGGGGTGAAGAGCTACAAAATTCTCCAGCGAGGACTCGCCTGTAAAATAGGGACCATCACGACAAATTCTGTGTGTGGTATCCCCAGAGCCTAGACGGTGCCTACCACACAGTAGCTGCCCAATCAATACTTACAGAAGGAACAACTGAACATGTAGAAATATAATTGTTGAGTGCAGTGTGTAAATGGACAAACTACAGCCTGTAAGCCAATTCTGGTTCTCTATTTTTATAAATAAAGCTTTATTGTCACACAACCACAACCATTTGTTTATATATTGTCCGTGGCTGCTTTCAGTACAACAGCAGAGTTGAGTAGTTGCAACAGAGGTCCTGTAGCCCACAAAGCCGAAAATATTTACCATTTGGCCCTTTTCAGAAAAAGTTTTCTATAATCGACAGGTTTAGGGGATCGGACCTGCTTTGCCCAATACAGGAGCCCCGGGCCACTTGAAGTATAAAGAGTGTGGCCAGGTACCTACATTTCAAATGCTACTTCATTTTCATTGATTTAAAATTTAAAACCAATACTCCAATCAGTTAACGAACACATTTTGGGTGCACATGGAACAACATGAAACACAAACAGGGGTTTGTGGATGCATATATTTTACTGTAAATTTTCTGAACTCTGTAAGTGCACATCAAGGACTTCTGGTGAAGAGTCAGTGTCCAAATTATTATACAAATTGGATATCCAAGATTAGTATGAAGAAAAGTGAAATATCACATTAATAATTTTGATATAGACCACATGTTGAAATGATAATAGCTTGGATTTATTAATCCAATCATTTTTATTTTAGATTAACAAAATATATTATTAGGAAGAAACTTAATTTTATGTTGTGCTTTTTAAAAATGTAGCTGCTAGAAAATTTAGAATTATATGTGATATTTCTCTGAGACAGCGCTGAGTTAGAACAGGGCTTGGGTTCAAATCCTGACTCTGCCACATGTCACTGTGTGACCATGCTTCTCCCTGCCTCAGTTTCCTTAACTGCAAAAAGGGGGATGAACAACCTGCTTCCCTGGGTCGTTGGGAGGATTCAATGAATTAAAACATGAAACGTGTGGAAGGCACTTCCACGCAGTCCTGTCTGAAAGCCCAGCAGCCCGCCGTGGCTGTTGCTGTTATTACCAGTCTGTGTCCGCGTGAGGACAGTGCTGTGCTCCAGTCCTGACCTGAGATGCCCGGCAGATGCGTGTCTGCCTGTCACTCTCGGGTGGCCCCAGTCCTTTGGCCATAGCACGAGCTTGGTCATAATGAGAGTCCCCGTTTTGCATAGGATGACAGAGGGGCTAATAAGGGGTGATGACTCACCGTGGCCACTCCGTGAGTCAGCCACAGTTGAGACAGCGCCCAGGTCCCCTGCTCCAGACCGGGGCCTGCCCCTTGTAACTGTGTCACCT